CGTGTCGCATCGCGCGTTCCCTTGCTCGCGAGCTCGGCCAGATCCCATTTCACTCAAATGGCTTCATCATCACGGCGGGGTGGGGAGGAGTGGAGGGAGGACGTGGGGGGAGAGGGTGGATGGGTAGAGGGGGCGAGGAGGAGAGGGCGACTTTCAGGGGACGCTGAGGATCGGTTTTCTCGTGAAGTGAAAGTCCCAATGAAGACCCCCCCCCCACTCTCGGAGGCTGAAATTGCAGGTCGCCTTCAATATTTGATGGTCGCAGGAGCTGTGGCTCGCGTTGATTGGGCAGCGTTTGCGCGCGCGTGTGCGGTGGCGCCCGCGGTCAGCGCGACGCCGGCCAGCCGAGTTCGATTCCCACCCAGGGCCACCAACACCAGCGACGATTATCTGAACCGGTCTTGGGCCTCCCCCTGGGTTGACTCAGCCTTAAATGAGTACCTGGAGCGGTGTGTAAACATCGCCACCGTGCGTTAATGCAGGGCACAGCACTCGCCCCGTGTGGCTAGGATCTCACGTGAATCCACGGCACATAGCACTGGGAAGTTCTGTTCACGTCAAAGCCCCTCCAGACGGTCAGGGCTGCGTGTTGGGCCTGGCCCTGCAGGCCGCATGCCCAGTCGTTGCGTGGGTTGTCGTTGTTGTGGTCCTCCCGTGTTTTCCTCCACATGGAGAATCATGCGTGTAGATTTGTTTAGATTATTTTGCGGCTATAAATGTCCACGTGATGAGCCACTTCGTTCAGCTATCATTTGTGGCCAGGTCGCTTCTGAAAATAAGCTAATAGCTCAGTGGGCTTTACCTGGTAAGATTAAAAAAATAGCAACATCGAAATTTTACATTTTATTTGTATATGTTTTACGTAATTTGTTTACCTTTCCTATGCTTTGCACGCCTATCGTGTTTCTGTACTGTTTGTTGTTGTACCGTTCTGACCCGTCCCTGCTGGACATCTGTGAAAAAGAGCTTCATAGCTCATCGGATTCCTCCCAGGATAAATAAATATTCTGAAAATGATGCGTTATTCGAGGGACGAGGGGTGGAGAAGATGCAGACTTAGGTGGAGCTGAGCTGCCTGGCAGCTGCGTCTGTCCACTGACTGACAGCCAGCGAGTCGTGTTCAGCACTCTCTCAGCAACAATGCCTTGCCAGTAACAATGCCTTGTCAGTAACAATGCCTTGTCAGTAACAATGCCTTGCCAGTAACAATGCCTTGCCAGTAACAATGCCTTGCCAGTAACAATGCCTTGCCAGTAACAATGCCTTGTCAGTAACAATGCCTTGCTTGTCAGTAACAATGCCTTGTCAGTAACAATGCCTTGTCAGTAACAATGCCTTGTCAGTATCAATGCCTTGTCAGTATCAATGCCTTGCTTGCTACACGAATGCACCAGGATACTGCGCTGCTGATCTCGTCAAGGAATATAAAACCACCATCACGCGAACTGCGCCCATCCTCGCAGCGGCTTTCGACTGCTAAGCCATCGAACACCGCATCATCATCGCGCACTTTCAGACGCGCTTCTAGGGCCGTCTGGAACGCTCTTCCTTCTGATATCAGGAAACCACTGGGGGCTATACACCGTTAAATCATCCTCTAGATTGACCATCTCGTTTCTTTAGAACTGCTTTTTGCGTTTAGTTTGTGGTCCTTCCCCCGCTCCTCCCATTAGCACGGCTGGCTACGCACGGTGCGAAAGACGTTCAACGTCCAGCCTTGCCTGAGAACCCTGACCCGCCACGGTCTCTCACTGCGTCCCCAGACTCCTTGAGCAGAGTCCTGGTTAGCGACGTTGGCAGATATAGCCCTGTGGGCTTTACCTGGTAAAATAACATCGTGAAAACATGAAATAAACATTAAAATAACATCGTGAAAACATGAAATAAACGTTAAAATAACATCGTGAAAACATTAAATAAACGTTAAAATAACATCGTGAAAACATTAAATAAACATAAAAATAACATCGTGAAAACATTAAATAAACATAAAAATAACATCGTGAAAACATTAAATAAACATTAAAATAACATCGTGAAAACATTAAATAAACATTAAAATAACATCGTGAAAACATTAAATAAGCATTAAAATAACATCGTGAAAACATTAAATAAACATTAAAATAACATCGTGAAAACATTAAATAAACATTAAAATAACATCGTGAAAACATTAAATAAACATTAAAACAACATCGTGAAAACATTAAATAAACATTAAAATAACATCGTGAAAACATTAAATAAACATTAAAATAACATCGTGAAAACATTCAATAAACATTAAAATAACATCGTGAAAACATGAAATAAACGTTAAAATAACATCGTGAAAACATTAAATAAACATTAAAATAACATCGTGAAAACATTAAATAAACATTAAAATAACATCGTGAAAACATTAAATAAACATTAAAATAACATCGTGAAAACATGAAATAAACATTAAAATAACATCGTGAAAACATTAAATAAACATTAAAACAACATCGTGAAAACATTGTTTCAATGACTCTTTGGTTCTATTGGGTAAAGTCACGTAGGTAAAAAATAAAACAACAAAAATCACGACGTTTCGACCACAACACAAGTGGCCTTCATCAGGTGAAGGGACCAACCTGTCCGGAGGACAGCGTTGGAGTGATATTTTATTTTTTTACCTACGTGACTTTACCCAATAGAACCAAAGAGTATGCATCCTTGCAGTCACGAAAGCTTTAAATCTAGAATTGTTTCAATGAGTTGAATAGTTCAACCCTCGCCCTGCGAGGCGCTGTGGCTCCCGCATGCACAGCGGCTGAAAGGCCTCGCCCGCTGTGCACGTGGCGATGGGGCGCAGCCCTGCGACCCCGCGAGTCAGAGTCGGGTTACTCGCGCGCGCGCTCGCGTGCGTCACTCAGCGCCCAATTGACCAATCAACCCGCGCGCGCTTCGCGGGCGGCGACGCGGCCGAGTGAGCCGAGCGGCGTCTGGATGCGAAAGGGGACGGAGGAGAATCGGCTGCAGGGGGGCGGGCGGCCCCCTTTGTGGAGGGGGCTGGACGCGGTTTGGGAGTGAATGGTGAAGTGGCCACGACGCCACTCGCCGTGTCACCAGACTCCGATCTTCGGTGACCGCGCACCGGCGAGACCGCTCGCACGTCCGCGTGCCACGATCGACGTGGCACGGGAGTTGGCCGCCCTTAAGAGAGTGGGCAACAATAACAAAAATAAACAAATCACTTTAAACTAAATATACGAATTAAACGAACCTATTTTTCGATTTTAAGCTTTCGTGACTGCAAGGATTAATCTTATTGTCCATGTACTAGGTGCCTCTGTAGATGTGTAGGCTTTGATTTTAACATAGCCATTTCTGTGACCAGTCACAAGCTAATCCCTCAGTTATTTCAATGCTAAATTCTCCTGTTTGATTTATACTAGGTGCCTCTGTGGATGTGTAGGCTTTGACTTTAACATAACTATTTCTATGACCAGTCACAAGCTAATCCCTCAGTTATTTCAATGCTAAATTCTCCTGTTTGATTTATACTAGGTGCCTCTGTGGATGTGTAGGCTTTGACTTTAACATAGCCATTTCTGTGACCAGTCACAAGCTAATCCCTCAGTTATTTCAATGCTAAATTCTCCTGTTTGATTGATACTAGGTGCCTCTGTGGATGTGTAGGCTTTGACTTTAACATAGCCATTTCTGTGACCAGTCACAAGCTAATCCCTCAGTTATTTCAATGCTAAATTCTCCTGTTTGATTGATACTAGGTGCCTCTGTGGATGTGTAGGCTTTGACTTTAACATAGCCATTTCTGTGACCAGTCACAAGCTAATCACTCAGCTATTTAAATGCTAAATTATATGCTAATTCCTTTGTCAAGGCGCTTTGTTTCTTCTCACACAGCTTAAAGGTCGCGGTCTGAGCTTGGCTGTGTTCGCTCCAGCGTGTCCTCCAGACAGTCTCGTCCCTTCACCTGATGAAGGCCGCTTGTGTTGTGGCCGAAACGTCGTGAGAATTCCATTGTGTTATTTTATTTTATCAATTTATTATTTTATTCTCTTTCGACGTGACTTTACCGTAAGAACCAAAGAAGATGAACCTATTTTTGTTTTATCTTTACCAGGTAATTCCCACTGAGCTTTCAGTTTACTTTTGCAGAAGCGACCTGGCCACAAATGATAGCTCGGCCAAGTGGCTCATCACGTGGACAAGAAGAGCAGCCAAAATAATCCCCTCTCAAGGCGTGCCTCTCTGAATGTGGAGGGGAGTGAGCCCGGAAGCACCCCCTAGAAGAGAGCCGTGCGACTCAGCGTGGCTCTCCTGCACGCAGAGGGAACGCGGGCGCTGTGCTCAATGGCCCCCGCCAGTGCCGGAGTATCACTGTAGCACAAGTCGCTACATGTGTAGTATATGTAGCTACTTCATATACTACATGTGTGTAGTAGCTACATATGTAGCATATGTAGCTACTACACATGTGCAGTAACTACATATGTAGTACATGTAGCTACTACACGTGTAGTAGCTACTACACATGCAGTAGTAGCTACTACTACATGTGTAGTAGTAGCTACTACACATGTAGCTACTACTACACATGTAGCTACATGTGTAGTAGTAGCTACTACACGTGTAGTAGCTACTACATGTGTAGTAGCCTTCACTCATATGTAGTAGCTACGGGCCCCGCACTTTCAAGGGCCCCGCGCTAAATGCTTTCAAGCTATCAATTCAGGTTCAGTGACTCCGCACTTGCTCTATTACTATAGTACTATACCCCCTTCAACTTTTACGAATGACTGGGTGTTTAAGGTTAGCGATTTGTCGTATTATCTGGCTGTATAGCAAATGGAAAAATACAATTACTTTACTATGCAAGTAAAAAAAAATGCGTGGTTTAATATTTATTGTAAAATTCAGGGCCCCTTAACAACATCATGCTCCAGGCCCCGCACTCGCTTCACCCGACACTGCCCCGCGCGTCTGCCTGTGTGTGCGCCCAGCGGCGATGTTCATGGAGCACTGGAAGCGACATCAGATGCAGCTCAACTACCACTGGGACATGGCCGGCTTCGAAGAGGAGGAGGTAACGCGATGGGGTCACGGGGGTTACGGGGGTCACGGTCACAGATGTGCACGGCCAGCGGGGGGAGGGAAGGGTCACGAGACCCCACGTGCTGTACCGCCGTCCGTCACGTGATTGACGCACGCGGTCTCGGCACAATCTGCTCGGCGTCACTCGGCGCTCTTCACTGCGGGGCCCGCTGGGCCCCTCGCGGCCCCTCGCGGCCTCCGGTGGGGCCCTGACAATAGCCCGAGGTGACGACAACTCCGTGCAGGCAGCGTGGGGGCCCTCGTCACACTGATGATGTCTTGCCGGCGACAGTGCACACCCCACCCCACCCCCCTGAAAGTGAGTGAGGGCCGCTGCTGTAGACGAACCAAATGGAGCACTCAGGCCCCCCCCCCCACCACATAGGAGCTCAAGGGGCCCCGGAATCGTGAAGATGATAACACAATTTAATAAAACTGGGCTCTTGTTACCGCTTCGCCACGGTGCCTCGTAAGCCGCGGGCTCCTGTGCGTTGGTTGACGCCCATCCCAGCGCAGTCTCGGCGCCTGCTGAGATTCCAAGGTCCGACGGAAATGGGCGAATTCCCCGCGTGGTTTAACACTTCCGTGTGTGTCCACGCAGTAGGCAATCGGCTTTAGTGAGATCTACCTGCACGAGAAATAAGACAAAGCTCCCCCGCGTAGGCTGAACAGACTTTTAGGGCAAGTGCTGTTCGCGAATGGCACCTGTGAATGCCGACACGGCACACGAGGGGGTGGGTGGCCAGCACCACGCCCGGTCGCCTTTGTCTCCCCAGTGGCGATGTTTACTACACACCGCTACACCAGGTACTCGTTTGAGGCTGAGTTGGCCTAGGGGAGCCACGCATGCGGTATGCATTGTTCCCCGCCTATTCTCGATCCACTGCTGGATGAAGTGGTGGGCAAATATATGCGTGTGTGTGTATGTGCGCACACACACACACGCGTTTGTGTGCACACACACACACGTTTGTGCGCACACACACACACGTATGCTGACGCGGCGTTACGTCTTGCACGTGGGATCCGCGCTCGTATTCGATCGGCGATTCTCGATCCACTGCTGGATGAACATTTTGCATATGTATGTGTTTGCGCTTGCTTATTTTTGTGTATATATTTTATTTTTTTAAACATGATGCACAATGCATTGGTGCACACGCGCATGTCAACTCAACACACTCGTCAATAACACGCGCGCTCTGTGTGTGTATGGCCTTAAAAGGAAAATGCATAGTAGGCGACGTTTCGGGCAACGGCCCTTCGTACCTTGAGAACCATTTTCCCAAGAAAGGTCATTGCTTGAAATAGGGCCATCGCCTGAAACGTCACCTATATTATATATGTGTTCCGTCTAACGCAACACAGTGTTGTTGACTCTCGAATTGAGATGTTTATGCATAATGCATTCCATGTTTGTACAAAAAAACTAGACTGCTATACCAAAGTGTTCCATCGCAGTGTACACGTGTGCGCGCGTGTGTACACACGTACGTGTATACATGTGTACCTGGGCGTGTGTAAACGTGTGCACACGTGTGCGCGCACGCGTGTATATGTATGTGTGTATACACGTGTGTGTGTGTGCACGTGTGTGTGTGCACGTGTGTGTGTGCACGTGTGTGTATACACGTGTGTGTGTGTGTGCACGTGTGTTTGTGTGCACGTGTGTGTGTTTGTGAGCGCATTGCTTGACTGTGTAACGCGCCTCTCCGCTTGTGTTCGACTGAATGCCCCGCCTCTGCAAACGGCTTTGCCCGCTATAACGCGTCTCGCCTGGCCGTCTGGTACCTGCGTCGCTCTCCCACACAGGGCCTCGATCAGGTGCGCCTAGCACACACATGCGCATGCACACACACACACATGCACGCGAGCCCACGTATACACATATACAGACACGTGCGCATGCACACACACGCATGCACACACACGCATGCACACACATACGCACGGACACACGCACACGAGCCCACACATACATCCGCTGCCGTTCGTTACTAAGTTGCGGTGACATGACCAGGGCGCTTGTGCCAGGCTAAGTGCGCCTTTGAGGCCAAGTGAAGTGTTGATGGCTAGCTACTGCTGACAGAAGGTCCCGGGACAGATCCAGGTGGTATGGGTTTACTGACTGCGATGATTTGCACCGTCTTTGTTCCCCACTGTGCTCACTTGCTCAATTTTATCCACCCTGCGCCCCGCTCATTGTTGTGAACGTCGTTCCACGTGTACATACAAGACAAAGATCCCCCGTATAGCCTGAACAGACTTTTAGGGCAAGTTCTGTAAGCGAGTGGCACCTATGAATGCCGGCACGGCACACCAAGGGATGGGTGGCCAGCACCACGCCCAGTCGCCTTTGTCTCCCGAGTGGCGATGTTTACACACCGCTACACCAGGTACTCCTTTGAGGCTGAGTCGACCTAGGGGAGGCCCGGACCCGTTTAGATAATCGTCACTGGCGTTGGTGGCCGTGAGTGGCAGTCAATTCCGTGCGTTTCGAGTATTTGGCTACTATAAATGTCCACGTGATGAGCCACTTCGTTGAACCATAGGGGTGGCCAAGTCGCTTCTGAAAAATAGCGATGTTCATCAGTGGGGTACTCTGTATCGCTCAGCGAGGCCTGAGCTGTTAAAATAACCACAAGAAATTGTCGTCGTTTCAAAGTGGATAAACGTCGCCACCTGGTGCCGAGTTAGCGCAAGTCATTCCGTGTCGCCGAGAATGAAGCGATCGTTATGTGTGCTCTGACGAAGGGCCATTGCCCGAAACGTTGTCTATTATGTGCCTGTTTTATTTTAAGGCCACAGTGTCATTGAGCAATGTGCTGAGTGTATATATAGGAGGCGATGTTTGTTTAGAATCTGAAGGGACACGTGACTTAGTCGAGACGGCAATGAAGGGTGGCCCAACAGTCAGGACACATAAGGTTTTATTTTATTTATTCTAACCAATCACATTATAGGGTTGTTTAATTTATTTTAACAAACGCTCAAACGGACGCCCATTAACATTCATGCATGGTGCACGAATTAGATTTTGAAAAATAATTTGGGACTGTTTTGTAATATGCCTTTTTATTAGCATGCAAAAAAACCGACTTGAGTCAGTCGTATCTCCGTTTTAAAAGTCATCTGAAAAACTAATAATGACAACGGGTAAAATAATAACTTGAATATCAAATAATAATCAAAGTATATGAATGCGGGTGTTATAATAAATTAAATAACCCTCCGTGTCCCAGACTCTTGTGCCATCCTGTTCGATGGTAATAATAATCATACCCACAGCACACACCCAGCCCAGCAATGAGCCGTGCCCTACAACACGTGTGTTTAGTTGTGTAGCCCAGGGATATTGTTTATAATGAGAACACCACACACGTGTGTCACAGCACGTGTGTGTAGTTGTGTAGCCCAGGGATCTGAGTTATAATGAGAACCACACACGTGTGTCACAGCACGTGTGTTTAGTTGTGTAACGCAGGGATATTGGTTAAATGAGAACCTCACACGTGTATCACAGCACGTGTGTTTAGTTGTGTAACGCAGGGATATTGGTTATAATGAGAACCTCACACGTGTATCACAGCACGTGTGTTTAGTTGTGTAACGCAGGGATATTGGTTATAATGAGAACCTTACACGTGTGTTACAGCACGTGTGTTTAGTTGTGTAACGCAGGGATCTGAGTTATAATGAGAACCACACACGTGTGTCACAGCACGTGTGTTTAGTTGTGTAACGCAGGGATATTGGTTAAATGAGAACCTCACACGTGTATCACAGCACGTGTGTTTAGTTGTGTAACGCAGGGATATTGGTTATAATGAGAACCTTACACGTGTGTCACAGCACGTGTGTTTAGTTGTGTAACGCAGGGATCTTGGCAATGGCGCAGCCAGGATTTTCAGGGAGGGTGGGGGGAACCCCTCCAACAATTAAAAATGATAGAGTTATCAGTTAGTAAGCAATGAGTTGTTAGTAAGGAGTTGTTAGTAAGGAGTTGTTAGTAAGTAAAGAGTTGTTAGTAAGGAGTTGTTAGTAAGTAATGAGTTGTTAATAAGTAATGAGTTGTTAGTTAGTAAGGACTTGTCCCTTGCTTGTTACTCGCCGCGTGTGCGGCGATGTCGCAGCCATCGATCGAGGGTCGAATTGCGAACCGCGTTGTGTGATCGGCATCGCGCTCACTGAAGGTGTCGATGCCTTCAGGGAAGTCGTGTACTGTATACGCGACTGCGCACAATTCTGTGAGTCACTTATAACTGCTTTGCTGTTACTTATTGCCAATTATGGACTCAGATTATTGTCCCATCATCTCATAGCGTCCCTGGCACATAGTAATAATATGCTACACAGTGGCATGGTTGTTCTCATTATAACCCAAGGGATCTGGGCAGTGGCGGTTCAAATCCTTGACCTTCAAAGCCACCGCTCCTCCACTCGAGGCTGCTATTCTCCTCTTGCGCGTGGCCGTGTGTAGCCGCGTGGCCCAGCAACTCTCGGTTGGCATGTCGAGGTCTGCTACTTACTGGCGACAAAGGGTGGACTGTTTGGTCCATAGTTTAGGTTGCATGGCCACAATCGCACTGCTATAGCTTTTATTAAAATGTCCATTCATGAAGGAGATGTCGCGCAGCAGCATCGGCCCGGCCATGATTCTTCTGATGCGATGTCTTCAAGGAGGAGGAGGAGGAGAGTCAAAGGCAGGAGGAGGTTTGCGATGACGTTTTGGCGTTGGTATTCTGGATGTTGATGGGGCGCGTGTGTGGTTTTTGGTGGTGCTGATGGTGGTGGTGTTTCTGGTGGTGGTGCTGCTGGTGGTGTTGCTGGTGGTGCTGGTGGTGTTGCTGGTGGTGCTGGTGGTGTTGCTGGTGGTGCTGGTGCTGTTGCTGGTGGTGCTGCTGGTGCT